ACAAATGGCTTCGAAAAGTGGCGTCAAAGGGAGCCGTGTGGCGTGAAGTGGCGGAAACCGTTCTCAGCACTATATGGGAGTCGGCCACACTGTCCTTCCAGGATTCTAAGATGCAGGCCCTTTTCTGATCCCCCTGACACGCGAGAAAGCTGATGAGTAGAGGGGTTTAATGTTTCCCAGGGTCGGGGAGCTGCTGACTGGCAGAAGCAGGCAGACGCCCGGGCAGCTGGCTTCCGATTCTGTGGTGCCCTTAACGCAGACATTCACCAAAGAAACACAAACAGATTGGGCCAAAAGATCAAGCATTTAACGTCATGATTTAGAGATGGAGGCTGTCACCCAGCTGCTTCTCCACTTGGACCTTGGGAACATAACCTTTTGCAGCTTTGGTTTGGTTTGGTGAAACCAACCATGTACACGGATGAGAACTTCTGAGGGGCAGGGAGCCTGCATTCGTGGTGACTTCATGGTTGGGGTGGCCATGGGGAGAATGGTGGGGAGTTGAGCAGTGTTACCGACATGGTCATGTGGTCATGTGGAGATTGTGGATGGAAACGTGTAGTTGTACAGAGTGCCACCAAAAATAAATACTAAAACCAACCAACCGAAAACCCCCAGATATCTAAATCACCAAAATAAACCCAGACAATCAAATCACTGCATTAAAATCTATAACCCACAGCTAAAAAAAACCAACCCAAAAAACCCCAAAACCAAAAACTCATTCTCATTTCTCTCACTTAGTTATTAGTAATGTTTAGTGAAAGCAAAAAGTTTGTGCAATATATAAGACAAGAATTTTAAACATTCGTTTCATCTTAATTAGATTCTTTTTTTATTTTTAATATGCATAGTATGTACTACATTTATAATTTATAAACAAATAGACATATACTAGGAATATATAGGAGCTGTGGTAGTGTAGTACCTAAGACATTTGACTGTTAACTGGAAGGCTGGCAGTTCAAACCCACCAGCTACTCCTCGGAAGGAAGGTTGGGCAATCTATTTCTATAGTGATACCAACTCGGAAACCCAAGGAGGGGTCGCTATGAGTCGGATGCGACTCTATGGCAGTGAGTTTGGATTTTTTTAGGAATATATGCTCAAACTGATCTCATTGGCGAGGATATGATAAAAATATTCGGGGAGGGGCATTAGTTAAGATTTTGGAGAAGGGCATTCAAGAAAGCAGTTTGACAGCAAGGACGGGTCATTGTGTTCACTCGAAAACAAACTCACTGCCTTCGAGTCAGACCTGACTCGTAGAGACCCCTCCTTGGGTTTCTGAGGCAGTATCTCTATGGAAGTGTAGATTGCCCAGTCTTCCTTCCGAGGAGTGGCTGGTGGGTTTGAACTGCCAGCCTTCTGGTTAGCAGTCAGATGCCTTAGGCACTGTGCCACCAGCAGCGATCAGGCCTTGGGAAGGGTGGTGACTTTCCAAGTTTGTTTCCCCTGATTTTAAACCAGCTCATCCCTTTGATCTTCAGAACCAGCGTGCATTGCAACCCTAAAGCAGTGCCTGTTTTTGAAAGCGAGTTTTCAGAAGCAGGAGGAGAGGGTATCATCCCAGACGGCATTTTGCATGAAAGCTATACACTTGTGTATTTCTAGGATTGAAGAATTTGAGTGGAAGTATTAAAAATTAAGGGAAAGTTCCAGAGTTGTTAATAAAATTGAAAGTTAGCTTCTTTTGGAGAAATAGTAGTTGCGTTAGCCTTTAATTTTTATTTAATGGTATTGATTAAGGTAAGTAAAAGAAGACTGTAATACACACCGTGAAAGAATTGATTATGGTGTTATGTTATTGGTTTATATTGAGAAGATAGAGCAAGTCACATTAAGCAGAAGTGCTAGGGGTGATTTCTAGTTTTCTGTACAGAATATAGACTCCCTGTAGTCTTAGGGGAGCTTTGCTGGCTCTGTGGTTAAGTCTTTGGCTGCCAACTGAAAGGTCAGTGATTCAAACCCACCAGCTGCTCAGCAGGAGAAAGAAGAGGCAGTCCACTTCTGTAAAGACTGACAGCCTAGGGAACCCTGTGATGCAGTTCCACTCTGTCCTCTAGGGGCGCTGTGAGTTGGAATGGACTCCATGGCAGTGGGTGTGGTTTGGGCTTTGCTTCTGTGAAGATTGACAGCCTTGGAAACCCTGTGGGGCAGTTCCACTCTGTCCTCTAGGGGCGCTGTGAGTCAGAATCGACTCCATGGCAGTGGGTGTGGTTTGGGCTTTGCTTCTGTAAAGATTGACAGCCTTGGAGACCCTATGGGGCAGTTCCATTCTGTCCTCTAGGCCTCTAGGGGCGCTGTGAGTCGAAATTGACTAGACAGCAACTCTTGTTTTTTTTCCCTCTAGTTTCTTAACCTATCACATTTGCTTCTTGTATTTTTATTGTTGTTGTTATAAAATGAGTATAGGTAATTTGTTGTTTTAACTACTTTTAAGTGTGTTCTATGGCATTCATGACTTTGCAGTGTTCTTCCCAACCTGTTGTCTTTTTCTTACCATCGGCTTGTAGGAAAACCTAGGAACTATCCTAGGGACTGTGTACATTTTGAATCTGGCCTATTCCTTCTTGGGGTATTATTTAACGAGTTCGTTCCTCTGTTTCCTGGGTGTGGATTAAAGTTTAGTATTGTGTTTTGTTTTTTAAGGCAAGGGTGACACGGTGCCTAAGGCATTTGACTGCTATGCAGAAGGTTGGCGGTTCGAACCCCCCAGCCACTCTGCAGAAGGAAGAAGAGGATGGGAGTTGCTGTGAGTGGGACTTGACTCAGTGGCAGTGGGGTTGGTTTCATGTCGTAGGAGGGGCACCACAGCATGAGACATAATATTTGCTTCTTCCCTTTTAATTTTCTTAAATGGACTTTAATTATCCTAAAATGGTCAGATCCCTCCATTTTAAAGTTCCCCGTCAACCTGTATCCTCATGCTTTTAGCATCCATTGATAATTAGTGCCTAATCCATGATTTCCAAGCATTTCTCCTGAATTTATTAGCTGGCATGATTATATAAACAGCAGTTTCTTCATCAGCTATTCGTTTAGTAACCCCAAATTATGGTTCTTAAGAAATCAAGATGGACCTCTGATGCTTCCTTCTATATGTTAGTTTGCAACCTCCAATGGGAACAAAGGGGTGGTTTGTTTTTTTTTAAATTTTTCAATGTGATTATTAATTCATGGATTTTTATGTAGTTGGTATGTTTTAATTCATTGCACTAATATCTTTTTGCAATGAATTAAAACATACCAACTACATAAAAATCCATGAATTAATAATCACATTGAAAAATAAAAAAAAAAAAAAACAACTAATTTCTTTTTAGGAGCTTTGGTAGCATGGTGCCTAAGGCATTTGACTGCTAACCGGAAGGCTGGCGGTTCAAACCCACCAGCCGCTCCTTGGAAGGAAGGTTGGGCAATCTACTTCCATAGTGATACTGCCTCGGAAACCCAAGGAGGGGTCGCTATAAGTCAAGTCCAACTTGACGGCACATAACAACAACAATATGTTTTTTGATAAAAAATGGTTTTTCTTTTTTGCTCATATTGGCACAAATACTGTTTTAAAGTCACTGGAAGTAACTTTCTCCCCCTCTGTGTACCGTGCCATCAGCCTGATAAATGCGTAGGTGCATGTCTTTCTGTTTGTTTTCCATTTGGGGCATTGCTTTATTTCCTTCCCTGTTTGATTTAACTTGATGTCTTTGTTTTTATAAAGTAGGGCTACACCGGAAACTTTCTTTTGAACGTGATGCAGGTTCAGGAACGTCACTTTCACCATTGCCCCCGCCAGCTGTTAGCTGCTTTCTCTGTAAATAACTGTTTTGATTAGTTTTTAATGTATCCTTCCATGTCTTTTTGAAAATACAAGCAAATATGTATTTATGTACATCTGGGGGCATATTGCCCATGTAGTAAACACTCTTTAGGACCTGACATTTAAACGTTAATATGCGTGGGAGGGCGCCCATGGTGGTGATCATAGAGTGGCCCCCGTTGGTTTGGATAGTTTCCTAGTGTCCCAGGGTCCCCATTGATCGGCCCTTTGGTGTTTCACGACCAGACTTCTGGAGCCAAAGTTTATTAAGGGAAAGGAAAAGGAAGGTCATAAATGTTTGTCACGCGATGTGCCATTCACTCTGTTGGGTAGGCTCATCCTCCCCCGGCCCCACACACATGGAGATGAGGAAACTGGAGTGTGCTGACACCCCCTAGATTCCGTGGCCAGTGAGAAATAGGTCCAGGGTCAGGACTTGACTGCGGCTGTGAGGCCCATGTCTGTCTAGTGGCCCAAGATAACGAGACCCAGCGTTTCCGTGGTTGCTGGGTGGGCACACAGATAACGTTTTAATCTAACATTTTAGAGGACCTTGTTTTTCCTTTCTTTCTCCTTCAAGATGACATCTAAGAACCTTAAAGAAAATGTCACTTTTATGTTTTCTTAGGAACTTTGGAGAGTTCCAGTTTAAAATGTGTAATACTTTCGATGCTTGGTATAGAACCAGTATTATAATAAGAGTGGAAATTTTAAAAGAAAAGGAAAAAATTACCTCGAATCCTAAACTTTAATCTCTCTACTGAAAGCATAGGAGCTCTGGTGGCACAGTGGGTAAGGCATTTGCCTGCTAACCAAGAGGTCGGCAGTTCGAACCCAGCAGCCGTTCCACAGAAGAAAGATGGGGTAGTCTACTTTTGTAAAGATTTACAGCCAATGGGGATCGCTATGAATCAGATACAGTTCTTTAAGTAATTTTTCATAGAGATCAAATTACATATTTTTCCCTTCAGTTTTACCTGAAACCTATGCCTGGAGCAGCCATTTAACGTTTATTGGTTAATTTGCATTTAGGATAATGCTTTCTGGGCTTTCAGATACCTTTTCCTTCACAAGTGTCATAAATTCCCTGTTTTTCTTCCCAATCTCTCAACTGTGCCTGTGGACATTCTCTTTAACGAGTTGCCCCAAATTTAACACGACGTCGTTTCTTGTCTTCTAGTTTGGGAATACCTGCTACTGCAATTCAGTTCTTCAAGCACTTTACTTTTGTCGTCCATTTCGGGAAAAAGTTCTAGCATATAAGAGTCAACCGAGGAAGAAGGAGAACCTTCTCACGTGCCTGGCAGACCTCTTCCACAGTATCGCCACCCAGAAGAAGAAGGTCGGCGTGATACCTCCTAAGAAGTTCATAACGAGATTGCGGAAAGAAAATGGTAATTCTTCTAACTGTATTGCTCGTGTCTGCTGAGAGGCAGGTCAGGCAGAGCACACTGAGTCAGCAGTCGTTTAGAGAGCACCTACTGTGCGCCTGAGAAGGTGCTGGCTGTTGAGAAGACAATGATGGCATCCCGACCTTCCAGAAGGCACCAGTGCAGTGAGGCTATCCCCACACGGGAATTACCATGAGGTGGGGTCCAGAAATAAAACTCTGGACGCCACGCAATGAGAAATCATAAAGTTCTCCTTATTGCTTGATGGCTTCTCTTTCGAGAGTGACGTTTGCCCACATTACTGTGCGTTTATTTTCATGATGCTCTCACACAAGCTAATTTGTTTGATTCTTCCAACAGTCTGAGTGGGGAGCATGTTATTTCCCATCTTATGGCCGTGAAAAAAGTGGAAGCTAGGACACTTGCCAAAAGTCACAATGAAGGGGAAGGAAAGAGCCAGAACAAGAAGTCAGGCCTGGATGGATTTAGGTAGACCAGCCGCCCATGGGAGAAAGATGAGGCAGTTGGGTTCCATAAAGATTGACAGCCTTGGAGACCCTGTGGGGCAGTTCCACTCTGTCCTCTAGGGGTGCTGTGAGTCAGAATGGACTCCACGGCAGTGGGTGTGGTTTGGGCTTTGCTTCTGTAAAGATTGACAGCCTAGGAAACCCTGTGGTGCAGTTCCACTCT